AAATGTTACAAGCTTGATCTGACAATAATTAGGTAACCTAAATAAAGCGATATTTCTTTTCAACGAGATCTTTATTTTCCTGAACGGATGTAGATGAAATTTTTAACGTGGCGTAGTACAAAGTTACTGGTATAAACTAATTCCATGCATCTTTGTGCTTAAAAATGGTAGCTTTATTAAATTATCAGCTGTCCCATTAACTATATATTGTTTTATAGTCGATGTGATCATCACAAGCAAACTCGATTTTTCCTGTCAAGTTTTGTTTAAGCAAAAAAATGTAATATGACAGGTGCATCGTACAAAAGGGGCAATGGATGTTCGCGAATACAGCGTTTAATTTAAGGTTTTTAAACCAGAGCTTCCCCCAACTTCCCCCCTTGTCCCCGCAGACTCGTTTCTCATGTACGAAGCCCAACCGACCGCCGGAGATTTTTTTTGTACCTCAAAAATAAACGACCGACCAAAATCAAGTCCGTACTCCGTCTGAGAAAAAGTACACGGTACTTCAGGGCTACCACAAAATGTTATTTTTTAATTTTTAATATGATTAAATTATTGCGCTTGATGAGATATTTTTCATTTGTGAAAGATTCGTTTACTGAAACTCCTGCCCTAGCTTTTAGTTTATCTTGGTTCTATTAGTCGTGGTAACTGATCTAAAGGGTCAATGTTTTCGTATGCTAAGTGTCTTTTATTAAAAACTAAACTCTGTATCGGTTTAATATTTCATGAGTAATACTAATGTTACCAAGTACTAAACAATTTTGTTACGGTTGCGTGGCAACCCTACGTGCGTTTTTTTGGACAAAATGGCCGCTGTAATTCTTTATTTAAATGTTCGCTAATTTGCGTAGGTTCTAAACGACGGCATTTATCATGTCTAGGGCATTAAATAGCCTTTATGTCAGTTCTAAAAAGTAAAGGCATTTTTAATTTAAGCATGAAGTCTTTATTACAACAGACTCTTAATATCACATTTATAACAAGTCTTTAAAAGAGGATTTTAAGAGAATTAATTCAGATAAGAAAGCTGATAGAGATGTATGGAACAGTGTTATGTTCCCTCCGTAGAGACGGGGCATTTGAAAGTAATTACCAGTTATGTTTTAATATGTGAAAATGTTAGCAAGTAATAATTTATAGCTAATGTAGGCGAGAAAGTAAGAGATTTACGATACTAGTTAATTAATATGGTATAATTTAGTAAGAAAACGCAAAAATCAGAACTAAAACGTGCACCTTTTATTTAAGACAGAAACTAAGGCAAATACGGCTAAAATTTATATTTAGAATTATTCATTATTGCTGTCGATGGAGCTATTTTTTTAAGACAAAAAATCATTTCTTATTCGATTTTTTTCATAAATGCACCTTGGCGAACTGTTCCGTTGAATCATCGGCCGACCGAAACTGACTGACCTAGACATACTTGTTCTTTTTGTTGATTATATCAAAGTTATTAAACGAATCAACTATAATTATAATCGAAATGTTCTCTTTGTTTAATTTATAAATCACAGGATGTCTGTTTTATTTTAGTTTTGCAATTGCTCTTGCATGTGTGTTTTTATCAAATTACACTTGCAATTTTCTTGGTAGGAACAGGTGTTTGGATGTCAGAAAAAGAGCTAGAGAATTATTAGCGAATCGCTTGGGTAAATAATGTTTACTTTAAAACGACAATTTTCTACTTCACTGAATTGCCTAAAAACATTATATTGTCCCTCTTATTCTCTTTGAAGCCAAGAGGTAATGTGTTTTTGTACATGTTTCGTCAGTGGAAACCAATGGTAAAGAGTTGTAAAAACAAGTTAAATTGATGCGATCACAATCGTCCGGACGCAACGCGTTTTCCATCTCCGCGATGTGATGCCTCCATTCCGGTTATTGTAAGGCTGATTACACACTAGCGATTATGACCGTTCGGAAAAAAAAAATTTCAAATATTCCAATTCACCCTTAATTAGATTCATGAGTAGACTTTAAATAATATTAATAGTTGATTTCTATGTTTTGTATTTTTTTGGTTTATTTTATTGAAATAATAAAAAAACAGATTCAAAATAATAACAAGGAGTTTGCTTGTAAAATAAAGTAATGTAATATTAGACGATATAAGTATTAGTTCAAGCATTTAACCACAATACACACGCATAGATGAGGTTTGTAGTGATATTCATATCATAAAAATAACACGCACATGACTTACATAGGTAGTAACAATTAGAAGTAACCATTTGTTTAAAAAAAAATTAATCCGAAAAATGTTGCAATGCCAAACATAAAAAAGCATAGAAAAGCAAGCATAGCCGGTGGGCATATGTAAGTAAAACTAAATTTTAACTGACTTATTATGCCATTTTCTAGGTTTGACATATTTTCTGGCACAATCAACCAATAGCAGCGCCTCTCTTACTAGCGATCCTTGATTGACTATTTAAAAAAAGATTTATGAATGAAAGGAAACGGGCACTTCTTTATTTTTAATCAATATATCTCCGTGTAAAACGTGTAAAACAATGTCTTAAGTGCTATGCATACAAAGATACAAAATTCTTGTATTCGTTCAATAGAATATCGTAATGCTGATGTGTTTTAGCCTTATACGAAAAACTAGTGTAGTGTGTTGGCCGGGAGGGGGTTTGCGGGGTGAGGGGGGGGGGCTGTGTCGTTGTACGGAACTAATGAGTCACTGCATGTTTCATTCGCCATCTGTTGTTCGCGGATCAAGGTTCCGGCCACGTTTGCGTTTACACTTGTATAAAAACAAATTATTTATCATAATGTAATGTAGTTTGATACGTATTCTTGTACAGGTTGAGAAAATAAAGTATTAAATGAGTAATTGAACTGTATATGAAGTTTGGTAGGCAACATTTAACTACACACGTCAGTTTTATCTGTACAATTTTTAACAGTGGTAGTGCCTGCTTTAACATCTTAGCACTGCAGGGCCG